GAGAACTCAGCGCTACGGGTCTGAAATTCATGATGAAATGTTCACACAGTGTAAAGAAGAGCTGTGGTTTAAATAAAAAATAGATGTGAAGTTTTGATATGACCAGGATGAAATGTTAATAAAACAAATACACCAATGACTGTAATGCAATATAGAGATTTATTTGACTGCAGATTAGATATCCAGCACTACATGGCATGTTTAATTAGTGCTGTGTGGGATGTACACGTTCCTCAGTAGCCATGGCGTTTGAACCACTGGGCTCTGGCTACCACATCATTGGAGTAATCATTGCCTGTGGTCCCGAAGTCCATCCTCTCATATGTGCGAACGTTTCCAACACCAGCGTTGTAGGCTGATATTCCTCCTGAAGCAGAAAATCGCAAAGCAGCAAAGACTCTGTTGAGTATCTATAGCCCTTAGATAATAAATCACACGTTTGCCTATGGTAACATTACTGAAACAGATGTCATTAAGGGAGAGTACAGTCATAAATCTTTCTGCTTATTTTTCACATAAAGGTAAAAACACTCTTAAGGCAGCAGATAATACCTTTAAACTGGTGCTCCTTTGGCCATTTGGGGAATTTCCGTTGAATTGCTTTGATGGAATCAATCAAAATCTCAGTTCCCTGAGTGACATGCTCCTCACTGTTCCAGGCACCCCTTGGAATGTGGTGGCGCTTGTCAACCTGAAGAAAGTCACGTTGCAGATCACATAAAATGACATCAAATAGTACATGTTAGAAGGTCAACATCATGGGAAACCCAATTTTATGCACTGCAAAAGCAGCATATTTTGAAATCAGTGTTTTTGAAAACTCACTCATTTACAAATCCCCCTATTAAGCCTACAGCAGCTTAGCTCCACTCATTCACATTGAAGTTACAAGGAGTGTTTCCGACTGGACTGCTTTTTGAATAATGCACAACACAGGACAGCCAATCAGAACAAAGCTCATTTATGGACATCATTCTTTAACACAAACAGCCCAATTCTAAGGGATAAAGAGAGGCCAGAAATGGTTCCATAAAAACGCATAAGCAATTATGACTATTTTAGTTAGAGTGTGGCACAGTGGGTAGCGCCTCCCAGTAAGCAGGGCCTGGGGTTGATTCCCCGGCCGGGCGACCGGGTCCTTTCTGTGTGGAGTTTGCTTGTTCTCCCTATGTATGTGGGTGTCCTCCCACAGACATGCAGTCAGGCCAATTGGACATGCTAGATTGCCCCTATGTGTGTATGTGTGAATGTATGTGTCTGTCTGTCTGCTCACTCATTTACTGCCATTACAAGTTTGGAAAAATGTAGGAGATGGCCCCTTAAAAGGTGTTGCCCAACAGTAAGCCTCTAAAGTAAGATGTAGTGCAAAAATAACCTTGAATATGTTTCAGTGCACAGAACAGGACTTCTTTCAGAAGCTCTAACAAAGCCCTGTGCAGTTATTTCCATGTTATAATGAAACACAATTCATGTAATCTTATAACTGGCCTGGGCTTTTTTTCCTGCTCTGTCCCTGTTTAAATGCTCAGCTAAAGGGATATAAAGCCCCCCAGCATTGGGCTGTGGAGCTGTTGATCTGTGTTCCCTAGAGTGATGATGCTCCACCCAGTACCATTCAGAAAAGTTAGAGTGCCACTTTTGATCCAGCAGTAACTATTCAACATCAGTACATGACCTCACTAACACTCTTGCGGCTGAATGCAATCAAATCCTCACAGCAATGTTCCAACATCTAGTGTAAAGCCTTTCCAAAAGAATAGAGGCTGTTACTGCAGCAAAGCGGGACAAACTCCCTATTAATACCCTTGATTTCAGAAGAAACGTTGATAAGAGGGCCTTTGGGACTCTTATCTTAATAGTGTATATTACACTATACAAGTCACTAGCGTTGTTGAGTTTCTCAGTCTTGTGTTCTGGAGTTTTCTGTATTTTTTGGTTCCTGGTTACTGCCTGCTATTTTGTCTACTGCCCCTCCCTATTAATAACCTTGGATGAGTAGGTGTCCACAAACTTTTGGACATATAGTGTATCATGCAGAGGAAAACAGAAAAGCTAGAATATTGGAATCAAGCTAATGAGTTAAATGACTAATAATTAAATAAAATAAAGCCACACAATAACTAGAGGACTTAATATCATTAAACTGTTTTATGCTTACAAGCATTGTACAAGCATTGTTTTTTAAGGGTTCTTTAGTGAAGAAAATGGTTCTATAAAGAACTCTGAACACCCACAGAACCCTTTACATTATTGACAGGTTCTTTGCATCATTAAAGGGTTCTTCAGAATGTGTTGTAGATGGTTCTATGTGGAACCTTTTCGAAAAGGGTTCTCTATAGCACCCCAAAGGGTTCCTCTATTGTTACAATGTCAAGCTTGAACCATCTACAGCACAATCTCCAACAATCTGAAGAACCATTTCATAATACAAAGAACCCATTAATCATGCAAAGGGTTCTTTGAGTGTTCATGGTTCCTGTACTGCTTTTTCTTTACTAAAGAACCCTTTGGAGAACCATAATTTTTAAGAATGTACTTTAGAAACATGCCTTAAACTATTGAAATATACTATAAAATATTACATTGGAGTATGTATTGAATGTTGAACTTATTCTTTAATAGTTTTTTTAAAAATACATAATTTAGCATATGCATCAGCACAATATCTAGTAATACATTTTACCACATTTCACATGCTATGCTGCACTGAAGATGACTAACTGTGCTCTCTTTGTAATCAAACATGCAGTTTTTAAGTACTGACAATACCCACAATGTGCTTTGAGGAGTTATTGCCCAACTCTAATATATGTCTGCATTGTCTGCTGTTTGTTCCACTGTGCCAACACAGGCTAAACCCCGTCTGGAAGTGGAAGTCACACGACCACAGAAAGAAGAACAGAGAGCAGCTGTTTTCATCAGCAGCCTCAATAGTTCCATTTTTACTGACGTATGTGCTTTAAACTAACCTGCATGAGTCCAAAGCCATTGCCGTGGTCACCCCAGCCGTCCACGAGAGCAGCTCCAGCCCTCGACTCTCTGGATATGATGGCCGCGATCACCGCTGGGTCCATCTGTTTAGCATTCCCGACTTTGGTGATGATGCTCTTGTACTGGTCCATCCTTCTTAGATCATTCTCAGCCAGCTTGTATGAGGCTTCCACCCCTTTAATAAAGACACAGTTACATTAAAAACTGGTTTCAAGAGTTTAGCCTCTCCAGTGTGAGAAAAAGTTAAGCACTTGCCCTTCACTCTCAGCTTGTCTTGGCGAGCTGTTGCCTCAGATGCTCCGGTCGTGTCGATCTTTGTGACATCTCCAAAAATGCACGCTAAGAATAACGTGGAAAAGATCACCTGAGGTCCTACAGATTCAGAAAGGACTTTATATAACATAATGTCACAGACAGAATAATTCACCTACACAGAACAGCTAAAATAACTTCTTCAGCTGTGTTTCTTTATTGTCTACATGTGATGTTAAACTTGGGATAAAGATTTCATTATGAGTAAACTGTAGTAGCCCAAAGAAATAACTCACCCATGGTGCTGCTTTTGATCCTTCTCTACTTAAAGAACAGCTCTTGTGTAGACTGGCTGGTTTTCGCAGGTATATATCTGGGCATCATGAGTGAGCAGAACTGCTTTCTCAGCCATAAGTAATAAGCACTTCCTCTAAACGAAGGAAGAAAGAGAGAAAATGTAACATTGCACAACTCAAAAATTTCCAAAGTCTAAGTAAGCAGCATAGTGATAAGCTTGTGTTTCAAAAATTTTGATATTACATATGTATATGTAATATATACAAAAATGGAGATACAAGGTTTCGTTACAACAGCAGCGATATATATATATATATATATAGGGACAAAACATTGTTTCTTCAAAATGGTAACTTTACAGGTTAACCTTCTTTACTTTTAATGTAAGTCAATGGAACCAGTCCAAATTTACATATATATGGATATATGGAATAAATATTGATGTATATTGAATGATCATTGGGATTAACAATGATGAGCACTTTCTAAAACTTTGATATTAAAAATCTTTGATATTCATTCATTGACAGTTTTATATAAATACATTAAAGATCCACCCATCTGTAGCAACACATCACTAATCAGCCACCCTCAAGTTCTTCTATCCAAGGGATCACTGTGTATACATACTGGCCACTTTATCAGAAACCCCTCCCTTTAGGCTCCAAATGGTACCCATTTGTTGATGCACAGTTTGTTTTAGCCATCCTTAAGCCCTTCAGTAGTATCTGGCCACAGGGCTACTCTTGGCTGAATATTTTTGGGTGGTGCACCGCTCTCAATCTAGTAGTGACAATGAAGTATGAAAACCTCAGCAACATATCAGTGTAATTTTTAGAAATGTCTCTTTACTCTGTAAATCAATGCTGATTCCATGTATATGAATGTTTATTCGGTATATTTCAATGTTGATTATATATATATATAGTGTTCATTAAATAGTTTACATATAATTTACATATATATATATATATATATATATATATATATATATATATACGTGCAAAAATGTTATATATCTATGTATCTATCTATCTTCTGTTTATATATATATATATATAGATAGATATACCCTCTCCTTATTTCATAAATTAAATGTCAGTGATTCCAAGCTTTTTAAACGTCTAAACATCTCTGTTTATATATATATATATATATATATATATATATATATATATATATATATATATATATTGAGACATAGATAGATATACCCTCTCCTTATTTCATAAATTAAATGTCAGTGATTCCAAGCTTTTTAAACGTCTAAACATCTGTTTATATATATATATATATATATATATATATATATATATATATATATATATATATATATATATATATATGTATATCATCTCTACAATGCATCTGTTTTAACAGAGAAGCAGTAACTGTCCTTTATCGTCACATATTGTGACCAATAGGAGTGAACATATAAGGCGGGGCTATAAAACCCGGAAACAAAACATTAAAAACATGCCGAGGGAAGGTCAGCGATGTAAGATGTAACGTGGGGGCAATTTTTATTAGTTTTTACAGCCGTCTGGGCGGATCGATTAATCGTTAACAGCTCTAGGATGCTTTCAAAGGCCCAGACATGGCTGTCTGTGTTGCTGTTACACCTCATGGAGCCGTGTTTATTCGCCAAAGGTAGCCAGGACTTCGGCTTTCTGACATCTGGCTGCTGCTGCGCCACCACAGCGGTCAGTCGCTCAGTGTGTTGGCTGTACTGCATATTACATTTTAAACCTTCTGTCTTCTTTTTTTGTAGGGAGATTAAATGTGCTGTTCATCATAGCTGACGATCTGAGACCAACTTTGGGCTGCTACTCTGATCCAGTTGTAAAGTCACCAAACATTGATCAGCTTGCCTCTAAAAGTACAGTGTTCTACAACGCGTATGCACAGGTAGTGTTAACTAACTCACACAGACTAAAACTTTCCGAGGAACACTTCTAAAAGCTGCTTAAAGGGGAACTCCACCGATTTGTCGAAATTTTCTGGGTAATTTTGTCCCCGATAGTAAACAAGTAAGAAGCCCCTAAGATAACATAGTGGTTATTTTTACTAAGGTGTGGTCTGAAATTAATATGTTGAGGTCACAAATTACTATATTGAGGCTGGGAATTGCTGTATTGAGGTCACAGATTACTATATTGGGGCCATTACTTCATATAATGAGGCCACAAGTTATGAGAAACTTAACTTGTTTCCTCAATATATTAATTTGTGGCAATGCCTTATTAAAAATAATCACCATGTCAACTTATGGTGTAAACACAATGTAAACTTATTAGTTTGAGTTGGAGTGGTGCCCTGTAGAGAAACCTCTGGACACAGATTTCTTTCCAGTGGTAGGATTTTAATGTCCACAGCACAGAAATTTATTTTATGTTATTTTGCTATACAAAATGACTAATGAACATACAGTGTTTTCTGAGTTTCATATGTAATGTTAATAATGATAAAATAGTGGTAAATCTGAAGAAATATGTTTTGCCTTACCACAAATGTACCCCTCTGCCATGAATGGCCTTCTAAAAATATGCTTTAGGTGGAAATATTATCATAAAACTATCATAAAACAGTGTCTTAGGCATCAGACAGCGTATTGGTAAGAATATCAGGTGAAAGCTTTTCTGTGGGCAAGTTTTTAGTGGCATTAAAGTCTTCATTAAGTTCCTATCATAACTGCTGTGAACAATTCAGACTCTGTTTTTTGTTCACTAGAATGAAGCATTTTACACAAAACCACTCTGAACTTTGTTTATGTCTTAACCATTGAGTTTCAGAATTTTTGAAAAATCTGTGATATTCCCCTTTCACATTCACCAGTATTTGAAACAAGTATGTGTTTGTGTGTGTTTATACATATATATTCTCTCCTCTTCTAAGCAAGCAGTATGTGGCCCTAGCAGGACCTCTTTCCTAACAAGCCGAAGACCAGACACCACCAAACTGTATGACTTCAACTCATACTGGAGAGTCAGTGCAGGAAACTACACCACACTCCCTCAGCACTTCAAATCGAACGGGTACACAACCTTGTCTGTGGGGAAAGTTTTCCATCCAGGTAACGATGACTCATTAAACTGATGACGTGACTTGGCTGAGTGTTATGTGACTGTATGCAGACTTTCCTTCCTGCTTGCTGTGTGTGTGTGTGTGTGTGTTGTTTTTTTGTAAGGGACAAGATCTTCCCCACACTGTTATAACTGTGTTGTCTAAAGTTGTACTAATGATGTCTCTGTTTGGTATCTTTGACCTAAAGGCATCGCCTCCAATCACACGGATGATTACCCTTACAGCTGGTCTGTACCGCCATATCATCCACCCTCTTTCAGCTATGAAAAGAGGAAGGTTAGTGTGTGTGTGCAGGTGTGAAAGGACATGTGTGTTCATGCTTGCCCTAATGGCCCAATGTCCTATTTCTGGAAATAAACAAGGGCGGCCCACATTTTTCTCTGCCCCCTGGTTTGGGGCAGAGAATCATAAAGACAAAACCATATACACATAAAAAAGGTAGTTAGAAGAAATCAAGGTTTTTAGCAATGTATTTTATAACCCTACACTACATACATACATACATAAATAAATAACTAAATAGGAAGGGGTGGGTTTGATATTGTGTCTCGTTATGTAAAGGATTTATGTATAACAGTACAAAATATTTTGCAATGTATTAAAATAGGATAAAATGGCAATTGAAAATTGTTCAAGTGGGACAAAATATACTTTGGTGGTTATCATTATACTTGGAGGGGCAGATAGCATGATAGAGTAAATCCTTTGTGTCGCACACACTGTATACAACAACACAACTCCTTGTTTCTATGCTCATTGTCCATTTTATCAGCTCCACTTACTATATAGGTGCACTTTGTAGTTCTACAGTTACAGACTGTAGTCCATCTGTTTCTCTGCATACTTTGTTAGCCCCCTTTTACCCTGTTCTTCAGTGTTTAATTTGGTTTAATTAATGTTTACATTAATTAAACCAAATGTCTGATGAGGAGTAGGTTTGAGAGACTGCCCCTTCAGATGAGCTAATACTGGTGCTAACACTGGGAATAGATGGTGCAACATTAGATGTGGAGGTGGGCTTATTGTATTTTACAAGGTCTTTTAACAGGCTTGAAATGGTTGCTTGTGAACCAGGGCTTTAATGTTTCATTCTTTGCACAGACTTTTTTTAATCACAAATGCAAGCTAACACAGCTCAGTTGACAGTTCAGTTAGGAAAAGCTAACTTAAACTTTGCTTAATTTATAGTCATCAATTTATAGTTATCAAATTCAGTAACCCATGTGAAGTTTACCTGACCTCAGAGTCTGTTACTAGTTTTACTACTGAACTGTGAGTGTGGTCATTCAGTCCAAGTCCTTATCAGCTTTGGAAATAAAATGCAGACAGCCCCACCACCCAAAATAGCGTTTGTCTGAATTTCAACCTCCTTTATAACACTTTTCCACATCTCTTAGCTCAGTAATCTTACTAATACACTCACTGCCATTCTCACTGCAGGTTTGTTTTATGTTTTCATTAAGGGTTTCTTCTTCGCTTGATGGAGAAAGTAGTGCTCAGAGATGGTTGTGATTGGCTGAGAGATGTGTTAGTCATTATTTTGCAAATGGTCAATTCACTTCTATTTAGATTATTCACTTCTATGTGTATGAGGACTGTAGTGGACAAATATAATTCATATAATTCGCTTCCCCTAAGCAGGTAAGAAAAAAGCTTTAAAATTCAAATTCAAATTCTGTGGCATTCTGCAACTTTATTGATTTACTTCTAGGAGAACTTTTCAAAATGTTCCAACACTAGAAATGGCGACCTATAGGAAAGTTTAGAATCTGTGTAAGTGATCAACCAGAAAGTCAAAATAATATCACAACTCCTCACAACTTACTATGACTTTCTATTAGGTTTGTAAAAATAAAGACGGCACACTTCACAGTAACCTGCTGTGCCCGGTGAACGTGTCCGAGATGCCTTTGAGAACCCTGCCTGACCTGGAGAACGCTGAAGAGGCCATAAGGCTGCTCAAGCTGATGAAAGATACAGGGAACCCCTTCTTTCTAGCAGTGGGCTTCTACAAACCTCACATTCCCTTCCGAATCCCACAGGTTTGTAGAACTCTGCGTATAATGTTAGTTTGATAAAAGTATATAAGTGTTATAAAAGTGTTTTTAAATGGTATAAGTGTTTTTTTTTGTGTCTTAGGAGTACCTCAAGCTCTATCCCATTGAGAACATGACGTTGGCTCCAGATCCAGATGTTCCTAAGAAGCTTCCGGACGTGGCCTACAACCCATGGACTGACATTCGGAAGCGAGAGGATGTCAAGGCTCTGAATCTTAGCTTTCCATACGGACCAATCCCTAAAGACTTTCAGGTACAGCATCAGAAAAATTGTGTCTAATGTTCTTTGTGATTTTGCACTGTGAAGTTATTGAGGGGGGTGATATGCTAATTTTTTTTTGAGTATTAAAAAAACACTGGTTAACTGAATGTTTTAATCTAAATAAGATGAGACTGGGATCCCAAATGGCAAGTTTGCTCTCTATAGAGTATGTTTTCACTTATTTTCACCTAGAAAATCAATAAAACATGTAATTTCAAACCTTTGCTTACAACTGTAGCTGTTTAGGTTCTCACACTTACAAAGTACTCAGGAGAGTTTGAATCCTGACTATTTGGTCCTGCTTAATTGGGTGTAATGCTAGGCAGTACATGAAATGTTGCACTTACATTGCCTTTTTTAATATGTGGCACTGCTGTTTCTTGTGCATTGTGTCTGTTCTAACTCATCAAATCTGAGAATTGTATTGGTTAATATCTTTCCTCTGTCATTGAGTCCTTGTGGGTTCAGTCAATAACATCAAATCTCCCGAAGCAGAAACGGTAACACCAATATAATAAGTATATTGTGATTTTTAAATTAATTTATTTACATGTTTATTTATATTTTTCTGTTTTTGTATTTATTGTTTCGTAGCTTCGTATTCGACAGCACTACTTTGCCTCTGTATCGTATGTGGACGCTCAGGTTGGAAAGGTCCTGCAGGCTCTTGATGATCTAGACTTGTCCAAGGAGACCATTGTAGTGTTCACTTCAGACCATGGTTTGTAAATCTCTCCTCTGTATGTAGGCTATACATAAGTGTAGCGTGTGGTGTATGAAACATTAAATGCTTTTTAATACTACATTGTGGTAAATGGACCAAAACTGACTTTTGACATTGTAATCAAACTGTGTCGCTGCTGTTTTGTATGTTCTCATCACACTGTTAATCTTCCCCTTAGAACATGTTGAATGTTTAAATTGTTTCAGTATTTTTACTGATAAATATTAAGTAAAGAAAATGAATCTATAGTCATATGCAAAAGTTTTGGTGCCCCAGATTAAATTACATGTTTTGTTGATGAAAGTAAAAATAAGTTAAACATCCTCTACTGTACATTCTAATGCACAACCACTGTTCATTTTCTGAATTTTAAAAAATGGAACAAAAGTGCATATTTTATGTAATATGTTTCAGTATGTTAAAGTAAGCAAAAGCATAGAAAATGCACATTTAAATTAGTAGAAAAATGCTATATTTGAGTTTGTTGTAATTTATTTAAACATTTGACTTTGATTTTGTAATTTAAAAAATAATCCAACCTTTGCATATGACTTTGCATTATACATACATACATCATCTAAACCGCTTATCCTTCTGGGTCGCGGTGGGGTGCTGCAGCTGTCATTGGGCGGAAGGCAGGATACATCCCTGGACAGGTCGCCAGTCCATCACAGGGCAGACAGACAGACATACACATTCACACACACACTCACTCACACCTAGGGGCAATTTAATCATGTCCAATTGGCCTGACTGCATGTTTTTGGACTGTGGGAGGAAACCGGAGTACCCGGAGGAAACCCACGCAGACACGGGGAGAACATGCAGACTCCACACAGAAATGACCCTGGTCACCCGGCCAGGAATCGAACCCAGGCCATTCTCGCTGTGAGGCAACAGCGCTACCCACTGCGCCACCATGCTGCCCACTTTGCGTTATATGCCATATTATTGTTTTTGAGCATTGATATATTGTACTTGGTATTGATATCAGTCATATTCTGGTGTCATTTGTTCACTATTATACTATACATTCACAGAGTGGCCGCTTCATTAAGTACGCTTTCTTGTATCTTCACTTTTTGTCCATTTTATCAGCTCTTCTTACCATATAGGTGCACTTAGGTGAACTGTAGTTCTACAATTACAGACTGTAGTCCATCTGTTTCTCTGCATACTTTGCTAGCCCCCTTTTACCCTGTTCTTCAATGGTCAGGACCACCACAGAGCCGGTATCATTGGGTGGTGGGTCATTCTCAGCACTGCAGCGACACTGATGTGGTGGTGGTGGTGGTGTGTTAGTGTGCGTTGTGCTGGTCTGAGTGGATCAGACACAGCAGCGCTGCTGGAGTTTTTTTTTTAACACCTCAGTGTTGCTGCTGGACTGAGAATAGTCCACCAACCAAAAATATCCAGCCAACAGCGTCCTGTAGGTAGAGTCCTGTGACCACTGATGAAGGACTAGAGGATGACCAACACAAACTGTGCAAATGATGAGCAACTGACTTTACATCTACGAGATGGACCAACAAAGTAGAACTATAAAGTGCACCCATTTGGTAAGTGGAGCTGATAAAATGGACAATAAGTGTCCATAAGTAATGAAGAGGCTGGTCAGTGTATATTGCTCCCATTAATTAGTTGGGAATCTGAAAATCTTTGTAGTTTCCTAGGAACGCTTGTTTCTCTTCGGTGCTCCACTAGATGGCAGTATTGAAACATCAGATTTCTCCTGTCCTGCCATAAGCCTCATGGTCTACATATTGTTTACAGCACTATGTCAGATGATCCTGTACTTATACTTTTGTAAAAAATCTCACTGAGTGACGTAAATTCTCACGAGCGCTTTTGATGATGTGCAAAATAGCCAGTGCATAAACCTCCTATTGAGAATAACTGATGTATTGTTGTCTTGGATATTGTACTTCAGCTGAGATAGCTTGCAGATGTCTAACCTCCACTAGTACAATGTCGAGTGCACGCTCTGAGTCATAGCCTGAGAGGGGAAGCGCCGTTTCCTTTTAAGCATTGTAAGGGGACAACACATGCTTAATCATAGATGCTGGGCTCTAACAAAGCAGCCCATCGAGAATATGAGACAAGCTCTTTCTGTGTGTGTGTCAGAAATGGGGAGATGCTCATTCCTGTCTGTTTTCCAGGCTGGTCCCTCGGAGAGCATGGGGAATGGGCCAAGTACAGCAACTTTGATGTGGCCACCCGTGTGCCATTAATAGTGTACAAGCCAGGTGTGACCTCGCCTCTACCTCGGCCTGGAGAGAAGACTTTCTCCTACGTGGACGTGTTTGAAAACACACAGGAGCAGTTTGGCGAAGGTAAACGCTCTCGGAACATCCGTCATGTCCACGGACGAGCCTCCTCGGAGAGTGCTCCTCGCAGTTAGATGAAGTTAATCCTCCTGTATCTGATTCCAATTTGCAGGGAACGTTTACTGCCTTTTGCGTTTTAATTGGCTGGAAAAGTTTCGGAGATGTGTAGCTGAGGACATAATTTGCCAGTATGGAAAAACTGGTAACTCTTTACTGAAGGGCAGAGTTTCACAAATAATATAATCCTGTATGGATCATTGTATCAACTGACTTGGACCTTAGACCAAAATCTTTTTGCTTTGAGTGACTTTATACCTTAATTATGTTTATTTTATTGAAACAAATGATTAAATGTTTCATTTTGTCAATACCACAACAGTCATAACACTCTCAAAACTTTACCTATTGTTTCGGTATTGATGATTTTAGCAAATTTTTAGCATAACTCAAAAATGCTAGCCAGTACATGACTATCAAATACAGCTTTGAACAGTTGTACACACATAAAATCAAGATATTTTTGATTAAAACACAAAACATGCGCAGAAAATATGTTTTGGTTGTGACAATTCTCAATGATACAAGCTGATTTACTTTACTTTAAAACAATGGGATTTAACTGTTCACCATGTGGCCATGAGAGACAGGGATGCAGTCTTACTTTATGCTCTAAAATACATGGGTGTGGCTAAAATAAGGCTCCGGCCAAGTAGTAGTTTCAGTAGTGACAGCAAGTTTTATAAATTAAACTCACAATAAATCTGAATCTCTCAGCTTCACTTGAAAAGTAATCCTAATCAGAAAGATCCTAAAAACCTTTGAACACTGAAAAAGGTCTTAAAAAAAAAAACGTTGAAAAAAAACAAAGAAACTAAAAAAAGTAGTATTGTATGTGAATTTAGGGGTTAGGGTTTAGAACAACCATCTCCCAATAAAAAAGTACCCTATAAATGATGATTTTGTACATATTTAGCTATTTCTGTATCACTTAATGCCCCGGGTTTAAATAGATCATAACATAATACATGTAAATATCCAAGGTCTGAATACTGAATTGTTTTAACTAATTTGGTAGAATGGTCTATTAAGGCTTAATCCAACAAACGTGAGTGGTCATAACTGTTGCTGAGATAAAATAGCATCCAAATAAACAAAAGCAGCCTTTCTGACAGCTGAACACTTGTTGGAATAAGTTTTTTTATATATTTTTATATCAGTTTATGTCAGTTAAGGTTCATACAGGTATCATGTAGACTTGCGAATGCTGTTCTTTAGTGTTACCAAATAACTGGACCTCTCCTGAATTCTGAGCTGGGCTTCATTAACATTGAGATGATACATCTGATGATACAGGTCTGGATTTCACTCGCTTTCAGAATACATTGCGTCAGTGTTATAATGGCCAATGACTGAAAATACCATAATATAAAGGAGCCCTCTCAGCATTCTTGCCCTCAATACTGTAATCTGTGGCTGAAAGCTTGTATGAATGATCTAAATTCTGCAGCTATGCTTACATACAAATGTCCAGACCATTTCCCTGAGGGAACAGTGCCTAAATTTATAGTAAGGAATTGTTTAACTCTAGTCAGAAAAAATTGCCTACAGCAACTCAAACACGTACACCATTCTACATATAGACACAGTAGAATGTGCAGATATGCTAACCATTTTTCTCAGGAGGTTTTGCATGATATTAATAAGGCAATATGCATATTTCTTAGTCTTTTGGGCCATGATGTGGATACACAGTATAATTCGGCTTCTTGACAAGTTTCACATGGTATTTATGGTACCTTGTTGTTGTTGTTGTTGTTGTTGTTGTCAGTAGACCACTGATAAACAAGTACTTTGCAATACATAATGTAGCCAAGTACTCTGATATTCTTCTGTTTGTCATAGTGAATGTTAATGCACTATATGTATGTAAACAAGGTCCTGTAATGTTAATTGGAAACATGTTTAGTATGTAACTGATTATTCAAGCCAACATATTCAGCCTTATAAATTATAAATGATAAATACTGTTGTTCTGCTCTACTTTGATACAAAGCACTGCAGGTTTTGATCCCATAATATAGATGTTTTGCACACAGTGTGTAGTGTATATATACCTTTCACTGCTCTGATGTGTTTGTTTATTAATCTAATGTGTTTTCATTCACTTGCATTTACAGCTTTGCAGCTGCATATATGTTTTGTAATAATTTCTAAAAAATAGTTTTTACTTTTAGCTTTTAATCATAAATAGGTTTAAGGTTTACCTTTATTTAAAATTCCGTCATGTTTCCAGGCCCTCTTTTTATTGTTTTTTTTTTGGAAAAAGTGTTGTTGAGCTTTCACACGGATGTTAAACAATCTCTGAATGTAGTTTCAAAGAGATGGTTGTGCCAAATAATAGTATAATATAATATGAATGTATTATAATAATATGAAGTATTCTTTAGTGCAGCATTGCATTCCTCGCCCTAATCTGTTTCATAGAATTCACACTTTGGTATTGCCTTTTTGTTTTCGTCCTTCAATATTCTGTCACAACAATACCCAGCATGCATTCTGCAAATATGTCTCAAAGAATCGCTGATGTAGACGCTGATGTGGAGCCTAAGATATACAGATGTGATCCTTCTGCTTTAGTTAGCTAGCGAAAAAAGTTTACCACTTGAAGCCCTTGGAGTTTTTCTTCTTCAAGACGCATCATCTGAAGTGGGTTTTCAGTCCTTAAAGTGGAAAATCCCACTCCAGAGACCACTGTAGCACCGCTGTAGGAGACCAATAGGCATGTTTACAACAGATTTAGAAATGGTTATGTTTTTAATTGTAGTCACGGTGTCCCTTTTAAGGTTATCTAATGTTGTTCCTCTTGGAAAAGAAGCTTTTATTCTTCATTACCGTCCTCAGTACTGTTTGGTTTTAACCATCTTCCCCTGTGCTTTTCCCAGGCTATGAGGTGCACAGCATGGTGGAGCTGGTGGACATCTTCCCCACTCTGGCCTCCGTGGCTGGGCTGCCTTTGCTTCACCACTGCCCCGTCCCCTCTTTCAAAGTCCAGCTGTGCACAGAGGGCTTCAACCTGGCCCGCATGCTCGGCCGCCAAGAATGGACCATCAATCACCAGGCCTACGCCTACAGCCAGTACCCGCGGCCCTCCGACACCATCCAGCAAAACTCGGACCTGCCCGACCTGGCCGACATCCGGGTCATGGGCTACTCGCTGCGCTCCAACGACTACCGCTACACTTTGTGGGTGAGCTTCGACCCCGTCCACTTTCTGGCCAACCTGACAGACATTCACGCGGGCGAGCTTTACGTCCTCTCTGAAGATCCAGGCCAGGACAACAACATATTCGACGAGTTTACTCGCAGCCTGGTGCTGCTAAAGCTCGGCGCTCAGCCCCAATGGACCGAGAGCCTGAAGCAGCACTTGATGTACTTCAGCGCAGCCTCAAAAACGAAATGGACTCTGTGATCTTTTTTCATTGTGCTGTAGCAAAAAAGGGAGAATTCGAGTGCATGACTTCTTTTTTTTTTTTTCAGCTTTGTTACAATGATCTGAAGCAGTGACATGTTTTGTACCGCTTTACAGTTACGTTGTGTGTTATGCCGTGGCTTTGAAAATGACCTCCAGCACTTTTATTTTATACTTGTTACAATGATTACTTAGTTACTGCTTAGAAAAAGGGAACTGCAGGGAAAAATACCTCAAAAATACCTCAAAAACACCTCTCTAAGGTCACAGAATGGAAAGTGTACCTTACACTGTTGAGAGCTGTAATGTGTGAGATAGCTTCCTTGTCCATTTTGTAATGTGTTGCCAAACACGGAGTGAAGTAAAGTCGAGCAAACGGGGAAAAAAAAAGGCAAAATACGTTTCGATTAAGCGGCAGAGGGATGGAAAGCCTTGCTCAGACAACGCTGTGATTTGGCAATTTATCAGGTCACTAAGTCGTAATTGTATTTTCTCTCGGAGGCCAATGGAGATTTTCCCGGAGCTAAACTCTTGTTTTCCGAGGCACTGTGATGAAAATCAACTTAAATATAGAATTCCGAGGCGCAGCGGAGTTGCGAAGGCAATTAGATGTTTAAATGTGAAAACTTGCAAATTACGTTGCTCGGATACACCTCGGAGAATAGTTTAACAATGATGAATGTTTTGGCCAACATCAAAAAAAAGAAGGGAAATGATTATTCAGGTGTGGCTGTAGCATCCTACTGTTAAATTAGCACTGCTTACCGCTTCACACTCAGTCACCCCGGGCCTCACTCCCTGGACTCTGCCTTTTAAAAGACCTTCCCTTTCCTGCCTTCCACCCTCTTTTCAGGTTTTGTTTTCCTCCTTCTCACACTCTCATGTTGGATGCCACACTGTTTACTCCCACAAAATATAAATTATTTTTGAGGGTACCTATTCAATATTTATGTGGAATCGAATAAATATATATATTTTTTTTTCCTCCCATCTGAAAAAAGAACACAAAGCGAGTGCATAGGCTGTGTCTGTGTGCGTCTGTCCTTTTCTTTTTTTTTTTAGTCTCTCTTTTTTTTCCCCTCCCAAATATATTCTTATAAATGTGCAGCACGAGCGTTCTAGCGGGGGTGATCCTCAGGGAGCGCCAATGCATTCGGCTCCAGCAGACAGGCTTCATTGCCAGCTGGTCCGGAAAATTCCACTGCTGTCTCTCTCTCTCTCTCTCTCTCCCTTTTTTTTTCCCTTTCTTGTCATCTAAAAGCAAGGTTAGGGCAGTTGAAGATGGATCCCAGCGCTGATTGAAGCTGATATTTTAACCGCATGCACAAAATTAGCTTTGCATTCGTGTCCTGGAAACTACCATTACAAGGCTGTAGTTCTTTTTGGAATGTGGTTTGAATTTTGTACTATGTTTCAGGCGCGGTAGCAAAAAGACCTGTTTTATGGCATAAATGTTTCCAGAACATATATATATATGTTCTGTAAACATTTATGCCACTATATATATATATATATATATATATATATATATATATATATATACATGATCTCTTAAATGGGATTATACTGAGAAAGACAAACATTCAGAGGGAGAGAGAATTTGACTTGGTGATGATAAATGATTTGTATTAACCACATTAGTTTCAGTGTGATTCCTAACAGGGAATCAATGCAGACACGGTTAGGGATCACCACTCCAGATAATAAACATTGATTTCCATAAGCTGTGTAGACTACGGGCAGTCCTAACTAATGATGTGCTTCAGACTTCCATGGTGGTGCGTTGGGTGTGGTTTTATCTTTAAAATCAAATTTACAATTGTCGAAGTTTCTCTTTTTTTCACGCATGAGCAGAGTACATAACATAACCTTGCATAAAAAGCTGATGATCGTCTGAGTAGCGGCACGGCTAAACATGCCTGCCCTTATTGGTAAATGTGTAAAAAGCAGCACAGATTTGACCACCTTCAACTTACAAACTACTCTGTGTCTGATTCTTGAAACGTTATATGACGTTAAAACGAGCAGAGATTTGAGTGCAAAAAGAGGCAGCCCACCAATATCTCATTTACATATCATTTGCATGAAACTTAATATTTACAGTTTTGAACGCTTTGACAGTCTCGCATCAGCTTTTGACAACAACAGCTATTTTCATTTAGCAGGTTGATGCATTAAGCTCAAACTTTCATGCGTATAAGTTTGTACATGCACAGTCCATACACCGGTCAGGCATAACATTATGACCACCTCCTTGTTTCTGTGCTCATTGTCCATTTTATCAGCTCCACTTACTATATAGGTGCATTTTGTAGTTCTACATTTACAGACTGTAGTCCATCTGTTTCTCTGCATACTTTGTTAGCCCCCTTTTACCCTGTTCTTCAGTGGTCAGGACCCCCATGGACCCTCACAGAGCAGGTATTATTTGGGTGGTGGATCATTCTCAGCACTGCAGTAACACTGATGTGGTGGTGGTGTGTTAGTGTGTGTTGTGCTGGTCTGAGTGGATCAGACACAGCAGTGCTGCTGGAGTTTTTAAACACTGTGTCCACTCACTGTCCACTCTATTAGACACTCTTACCTTGTCAGTCCACCTTGTAGATGTAAAGTCAGAGACGATAGCTCATCTGCTGCTGCGCAGTTTGTGTTGGTCATCCTCTAGTCCTTCATCAGTGGTCACAGGACGCTGCCCACAGGACGCTGTTGGCTGGATATTTTTGGTTGGTGGACTATTCTCAGTCCAGCAGTGACACTGAGGTGTTCAGAAACTCCAGCAGCACTGCTGTGTCTGATCCATCCTGAAAGGCTACCATTAAGAACCATTTTAGTCTGAGAATTGCTGTAACTTTATTTTGTTAGTCATCCAAACAACAGCACTATACAATAAATTCACAGTAGCACAAAGAAAGCATTTATATTCATGCAAACTGCCTTGATCGTTTAAAAGCAAAGCAAAGATTTGTGGGTTAAATCACAACCCAGTCAGTGTAACGTTAGACCATCATCTTCCACACTAGGTATATTGTTTACTGCTCTGTGGATGGTGTTGACTTGTCAAGGTAACATTGGGAAAAGTGAAATGTCTTTTCTAACTTAAGCTACCTTAGTTAGCCTAGCCACACTCCTCAGTCATGTCTCTGGCACATTAAAGGTGCAGTGTGTAAGATTTCTGCTAAGCTCTATTAGCAGAGATGAAATACAGTATACCAAACCATGTTTCCATTAGTGTATAATCACCTGTGACTATGAATTGTTTTTGTGGCCTAGAATGAGCCCCTCATGTCTACACAGGGAGCAGGTCCTCTTCCAACAGAGGCCACCAACTTGCACTGCCATGTTTCTACACAAGCCCAGAATAGGCAAACCAAACTTTTACCGTCCTGTTGAGGCTCCACAGTAGAATTAAATTTTTAGGTAAAAATAAAATAATCCTCCTTTGTAGTAGAATGAAGCTCTGCTGAATGATTTAACACAATTTTAACAATAAATGGTCTTAAACAGTGGAGTTTATGTAGTCTATGACTGCTAATTCACCAAACTTTAACCCTGAAGGTTGGTGCACAGACTGCTGGTCACCATAGCAATGCAGACAACAGTCTTGCCAAGCTAGTAGCTAATGAAAAGGCAAAGAGAAAGATTTAAGACAAACATGGATAATTTGGAGAAAAATGAACTTATTTGCATTTATAATCCCTCCAGCTGGTTTCCTGATACGTTTAATCTGCAACAACAAACTGTCAAACACTAAAAAGTTGTGAAGCTGAAGTCAGTTTCTCATTCGTCAGCTTCTTGTTGGAATTTTCCTGTTCCACCTTAAAAGGTGCAGCCGTGAACTAAATTCTAGTGCCTCAGGCACCATTTAAGGTGGAATGGAAATTTGAACATGAAGCTGGCGAATGAGAATCTGACTTAAGCCTCATAAAAAGTTGAACGTTGAGAAACATTTTACAAGAAACTCTACTTTTGTGGAAAAGTTTCCTGCCAGAGATGCGAGAAAAGCGGCTATAGCTGAGCTAAAACTTAAAGAAGAGCAAGGTAAGTGTGCAATTTTGTTTATATTATATTTGTTAGCCTATGCTAGTACATTAGCACATACTGAGACATATTTACAGCCAAGATGGTAAAATGGATGTTGTGGCTCCTGCTGGTTGCTGCTGGTGCGGGTTAATCGTTTCTTTTTGTGAGAAGTTTGAAGTTTGAGAATACAAATTTTGACAAATGGAGGATCATGCTTATTATTTAGCACAAGAACACAATGGAGGGTGAATCCTTGTCATCAAAGAAGTGAAAACATGAATAAGCAAAAACAAAATTTAGACAGGCAACAGCATAACATCTGATGGCCACCATAGATTCTACTACATACATACACGCTGCACCTTTAAGGCCCTCGTGTTTAGCAGAAACGTAAAAGGTTGAGTAAAATGATATACAGACGTCTCATTGGCTGTTTGAGCTACTAAATGCACCTACTAATGGCTGACTTAAATACCAGGATGCTAGGCTAAACACTGAGGTGTAGTGTTTGAAAGGTGTCAACTTTTTTCAGCATCATTTACAGGTCAGAAGTTGATGCTCTGAGATTTTCACTTTTTGCCTGCTTTTGACTGCGTCACCTATTTTCAATACACTGGAAAATGAGCAGCGGTTAACACAGTCATAAAATCTATCCTGTACAAGCATGACTTTTCGAGATCAGCGTGCTTTCAGTCAATCTTCCTCACTGTCTGTCCGGCTTAGTTTATTTATTACGTACTCAGTGATCGTAGAGCTCATTTTGCAGTTCGGTTGTCATTTCACGTTGTCCTTTTAGAGAATTATAGCTACTTGTTGTGAATTTTAAGGAGGAGCGGACTGTTTTTATTAAGCTAAGGCTTTCCACCGTGACCTCTGCCAAGAAGCAGATACCGCAGCTCTGAAGCCCAATTCGGTCCCCTGGCTCTGGGATAAAAAGCAATGAGTCCGTGTTTACTCTAGCCCTAACATGGGACCCATAAAAGACAGCTGGACTGTATTATGAAATAGTCTGTGACCTATTACTTTTGCAATCAAAGAGGTTTTGATCACAAGAGCTTTCGTGATTAAGTTGGAGATCCTTTGGTGTAGTGTCTCCAGAGCGCGTACGGCCTGACACGGCTCACAAACATCCAGCAAAACAAACTGGTGCACAGGCGGCCAGAACGCAGGGTTTTAATAGCTCATTGGTACTGAGCGTTTCTGCTTATCGGGAATTTGATATCCTGGATCAAAGGAGAGCTAAAATTGCAGGGTAAGTCTCATCAATTTGCAGTTAAGGGGGATGACAGGAGTATTTAGTGAAGTCTTTAGAACATCAGTACTGATATAATCGCTCTAGATTTCATTTACTTTTGTGCCATATCTACTAT